GAAGGGGCAGAACCTTTAGAATATTTTCTAGCTGAAGTTTCACAAAGCATTTCTGTGGTTTGGGTTTTAAATAAAAAAAATATCTCTGTACATTCCTGTATGGTAAAGTTATCTAGTAGTGATAATAAATCCAATATTCTGTGGATTTTGTGTGTTTTATTAAGAAGAGAAGAGAAAGAATCCTTTGTTCATTGGCATAATGCAATCCTGTCTCTGAACAGTTCTAATTTGCAAACCAAGTACTTTGTAAATTGTGGAAACCTGGTTATAACTTGAAGGCTGAATAAAATGGGTCATCTTATAACTGAAAGATAAATATAGATGTAAAATAGTGCCACCAATGTCTTTTAAGCAAGAAAAAAATAAATAAATAATAGGGTTCAGAACTGCCTTGTTCTTGTATAGTTTATGGGTAAAGCAAGATTACACATACAGCCCTGCAGCCGATTCCCAGGACTGCTAAAGTGTGAAGAACAGGAGTGACATTCTAGTCTTCAATAAATCACTATAAAAATGTTTATGAACCCTGCAATTTACTGTCTTTTAAATGCAAATTGAAAGGGGCATCGTCACAAGTGTAAAGGAGACCTGCAGTGGCCTAAAGGAATTATAAAATGTTGCAAAAGGCTTCTGAAATTGTGTGATCTTAAATGGTTCTATTTTAAAAAATGATTTCCCATTTATACTTCTGTGACAGCTTTGTTAATTTATTAAAGAGATCTCTGTGAATTGCAGGAAGGTGTTTATGAGCACTGTGCTTCACAGGAGCTGTTCACAGGGGCTCTCAAGGAGCTGCAGTTTAATTTGGCAGGCACTGGGGGCAAGTTTGCTGTTCACCTACAAGTAACAGGGGTTCAAAAATGTACAAAGCAGTGGTCTTGTCTGACAGATTACTGGTAAAGTAGCAAAGAATTCCTTCCTTTTCCCAGCTCCTCCATGCAGTCATCTACTGGGAAACTCCTAAATAGCAAAAACATGCTGGATGAACAGATCAGCATCCCTCAGCCCACCGTGGGTGAAGGCAGACACTGGAGGACGTGGCTTAGGGGTGAACATGGGGGTGGTGCTGGCTTGATGGTTGGACTTGATGATGTTAAAAGTCTTTTTCTTATTGATGCTATGATTCTAAGTCCAAACTAAGTGAAGAGTGAATCATCTTTCTCTGCTGTAGCTGTGCTTTCTCCAATGGAAATGAACTCATTTCCATTTATACATTTATCATGTTATCTACAAAATAAAATCTGGTCTTTGTGGAAGCAGATTTAATTCCTATAAATTAGGCATTATGGAAGGAGTTTTCATCACTTGGATTGGTTGCTTTCTTCTTTTATTCCACTGCTTGGTAAATTTTTAGAGTGTCTTTTTTTTTTTCTTTTTTTTTTGGCTCAGAGCCATGATTTTCTGCACTTGGGTGATGTAATTGACACCAAATCTGATTTTTTTTTAAAAAAAAAAGTATTCCTTGAGACAGTATGGGATATGAATGTGTGCAGTTGGAACACTTTAATTGTTTACATAGCTTAGAATTCTCCACAGCCTACTTCATCACTTCTGTCTAATTTAATGACAAATAACCACAATGGACTCACATGATATTCATGCTGTGTACGAGAAAGATGTAAATGTATCTGGCAGTGGACGATGCTACTCCTGGTTTTCATATCCTTGTACTCCTTAAGAAAACAGGCGTGGGTATCTGATTTCTGGCAACCCTTAAGTTAAATATGCTGCTTTGGCACTGTCTGATTTTTTAGCTGTCAGAAATGGTTGGAGAATGGGCTGTCAGGATCCAAAGTCTGTAGAACATCTGCTTGTCTGGCCTGGGCAGCTTCTCAGCATACACATACTAGAGGATCTTTGGAAACAAAATTATGTAAATAAATTAATTTGGAGGGCGTGTGTATCTGCATGACTCTACCCATGGAAAAATGATATAGCTTGGCTCTATCACATTGCAGACTTTCTAACCCCTAAATAGAGCAGTAATAGTTTACAACTCAATAGCACCCTGAATGTATTGCTGTTCATTTTGTTGTCATGCAAAACTGCTGAAGCACTCTACCTCTTCCTGCAGCCCTATGTCTGCCTGGGTATTTTCTTTGTAGCAGAGTTTAATATGTAGGTATCTGCTTGTCAGGATTAAAAGTGTTGTAATCCAGTGTTTTCAGAAGCATGAACTCCTTTACTGTTTGAGACCTGCTTGAGCCATGGGCTTACGGCAATCAGGACCTTGTCTGGAGTCATTGTGACCCACTCTGTGTCCTGGTGGCCAAAGTTTCTCCTCGTGTGTCTGTAAAATATTTCATGCTCATTTTCATCTGGCTCATTCTCAAACCTTTCTCGTGGTTTAGAGCAGGCTTTGGAAGAGCTGGGCTCCTCCCCAGGAAAATGACTCAGCTCCCCACCTTTGCATTGCTAATACCCCCATTATCAGCACCGTCCTGGCAGCACTGGAGACATTTAGGAACTGTACTATGCACCCATAATCCCACAAGCTTGAAACTTATGCAAAGCCCTCGGAAATCACATCTGTGTTCCTTCACCACTGGGAAGGATCAAAGACTCACCTCTGCACAAAGACTCTCGGTAGCACTGGATCAATGGCTTGTCACTGTCTGTGCAGCTGCAGGCACAGGCAGAGCCAAACGGGGCAGGGATTTGCTAACGAGGAGCATTAACGTGGACCTGGCAAATTCTCTTTTTAGGATAAGACCTCGTTTCTGCATTTTAAGTGAAAGTAACGTGCTGCTCATCAGTGAAGGGAAAGGAATGGTGCATCTCTGGTGGTGGCTGAAGGCAAGGGCAGACAAATTACTGCCATGCCATGGTTAGGTTTGGCACATGGTACTGCAGCCTGGGAGAGTGGGAGTGCTTATGCACAACTGAGTTTGACTTTTAGGTTTATAACACACATGGAGCAGGGCAGAAGACTTTGCATTGTGAGACTTAACTCATTCATGAGTTAAGAGTCAATTGCCTGATGTGGTGTCCCACCATGAGAGTGCAGAAAATTATCCATTTTTAGGGAAGGTGGAAAATGCTGCCTTTGTTTATCTATCCCAAAAGTATGCTTAATGACTGTGATTCAGAGCTATCTGACATTATTTCTTTCAGAATCTATTAGTCCAGTTTTACCAATACCCTGTGTACTTCCAGGTGGAGACAATCCAAGAAGCTGCATCTGGCCTCTCGTGTGTGAATAAGATGCTCTAATCACTTGTACATATCACTTTTGTCCTGTAAATAAGACTGGTTCCTAGATGAGCATTGATAGTGAGCAAGGAGATTGGAGGTCTGTTAAAAGTCTCATGCCCAAAACCAAACAGAAGGAAGATTCAGAGCACAGACTGTCCTGTTTCCTCTCATTCTCCCCCTAAGATGAGCAAAGGTTGCTAAAACAGTGCTGATAATGAGGTTTGACACTCTCATTACCCTCAACCTCTGCCTACAAACCATCTGCACTGAAAATTCCTGAACTCCACCCAAGGGGTTTGAACTTGGAAACTGTTAACCTTCCAAATATGATGTAGTTTCTGGCATTATTTGCTTCCTAGCCCTTATAAGACTCTGATCTTTTAATGTACAATGACATTCAGTCTCAAACACAGCAATCTACATCACCAAGCCATCCTTCCTTCCTTCCTTCTGGATTCCTGTTTCCCCTTCCTTCCCTGGCTGCCCAGGAGTAGCAGCAGGCAGTCCCCAGTGCATTTATGGGTGGGCTCTGCTTTGCCAGTGTTGAGCAATAAATAAATGTGGGCTGTGAGTGGTCTTGGATGGATGGGAGCAGCCAGGACTGCCCTGACATCAGTGTCACTGTGAATTTGATGGAATGATCCAAGCAGGTCCTAAAGCCAGTAGCTGTTTCAGGAATCCAGTCCCTGCTCTGGTATTCCTACCAGGATTACATCTTTACTGTGTCAAGCTGCTCCAAGTCTTCATGACTGAGTGCTCAAAATCCGTCCAAGATATTCCTTGTCTAGGAAGGTGCTCAAGCTCATTTCTGCAGATGCAGATTGCAACCACACTTTATTTGCTGTCTATGGATGTCTGTGAGTTCCTGGCTGTTGCCAGGATAGGGATTTGCCCCTCTGTCCTTGGGCAGGATTTTCCCTCCTGCTATAAATTTGCAGAGTCCTGTGTGTCATTTCCCTCCTGGCTGCCACCCTGTGCCTCATAAGTGATTGTACTCCAGTGGGGAAGTGATTTGTATGTATATTTTTATAAAACACTTTGGGATCCTTGGGGAAGAAAGTTGTTATATAAATGTATTTCCCAGGGGAAAGTAGTGGAAATCTCATTACTTGGAACATACAGCGTATTTAAAAGTCGGTTTGACAAAACACTAGAAAATAAAGGAAAAAATCCTGAACTGGCACTGGGATGGTCTAAATGCTCTAGCAGATATTTTCCATCTCTGAAGTTTGTCTCATGATTTTATTTAGTACATTGGAAAAAGGGTATGAGGAATGCTAAAGCCATGCACATATAAAATATTTTTCAGGAACACTGTGGCTTATTTTAATATAACCTTTAGCAAAATACTGTGGTTTGCTTGCTTGCTGATTTATTTTAGGTAGTTCAAAATATTTCTATTAGTGATCTCTTTGAAATACTTTAGGTGGTGCAATGGATTTGTAGCAAAACACAGCATGTAACTTGAGTGTACTCTCTGAAGCCAGGTATCTGGTGCCAAGCAAAATTTGTATGTGTAGCTTCTGTTTTAAGCAATTATATGGTGTGTAATACGCTGTAGAGAAATTAAGTGGAAGTACATTTTGCCCTAAGGGAATACTATAGCTGTTGGATTTCTTTTAAACAAGTTTTGCCCCTCATACAGTAAGGTTCCTGTAATAAATCACTTATGTAATCATCTATGGTATATTAACAAAAATGAAAAAAAAAAGGAGAAAAAAAAAAAGGAAAAAAAGAAGAAAGGAAATGTCAGCTAGAAATATTTGATAAAGTAAAGGTTTGCTACAGCAAGAGAGCACACTCACCTGTTTGGAGGGAAGTGGTTAAACAAGAGCTGAGGAGTGAAGCAGAGGCTGCTCTGGGGCTGGGCGCAGTGTAATGACTTCACTGCAGTAAACTGCTTATGTAATAAACTGCATGGATGTCACTGGAGAGTAACCAAACCCATCCATCTGAACTGCTCCTCAGCTCACTTAAATTAATAGTGATCTTCTCTCTGAAGGGAAAAATTGAAAAAATACATCAAGAAAAGCCATGCAGAGATGTTATGAAATAAAACTAGTGAGGTCATTAAAGAGAAGCCTTTCTTGAGCATGGAGAAAGGCTGAGTTGTGATGCTGCAGCCTTCAGGAGGTGGTTATCAGTCTTCAGCCAAGTTATTCTAGCTGCTATTTACTAGTTAAATAGGAAGTGTACAGTGAGTAAGAATCTCACCTAATTGACGTATAAATTGGCCAAATGGTTTTCAAGACCATTTATTTTTAAGAAGTCTTGTTTTGGCTGCCATAGCAAAGATATAGTTTTGTATTCCTTTATAAGATACAGAAAAATGACAACTATAACCAATCAAGCTGCATTGCTGTGCAGTATGTCAGCTCCTTTCAGCAGACCTGATTTCCAGAATAACCTTTCTCCCCCAGACATTTGTTTTCCTTTGATTCCAGTGATGAGACCCAAAGGGATTTAATTCAGAATGATTGTGAATTTCAGCTTTGAGAAGCCATAGAAAGGGAGAAAGAGTGGCAAATCTCAGAAACAAATTAAATTAAAATGCAATTTCCAGTTGATCATTTGCAAACTCTTTAAGAACTGGTAGCAATTTTTTAAAGAAGAATTCAACAGTTAGGAGAACATGGTGATTTCCAGTAGTGCCTTTTTGTATATCAGATAATTTGCTACTTGTTAATGAATGTCCATTTTTTCCACTCCATCACCGAATTTCTGTTCATGCCCAATATGCAGAAGGATAATTTACCACTTGCAGGATGTCTTGAAAGATGTCAACATTGCTTACAGATAGGTTCTTCTTTGTTCCCTTGACCACTTATTTGTCATGTGAGATTTAGAGAGTTTCTTAATCTCATCTTTCACCTTTATTTCCCTACTTAAAAATAAACAAACAATCCCAAAAAACAAAAACCAACCAACCAAAAAACTCCAAACTCAAAAAAGGCTCCCTGACAAAACAAATAATCTCACTTTAAATATTTATTAATATTTACATGATAACATTTGTAAAACTCTTCCAGATCTGTGCTGGCAAAGCCCCACCAGTAAGGGGTTGTTACAAGTTTTGTAATTGTTGGAGCTTGCTCTGTGAAATAAAAATCGGGTATAACATGGGATCAGCCTTAAAATTATAGTCTCTGGTTTGTTCCCATGCTCAGTGGGCACCTGGGAGTTCAGTCCTTTCCACAAGGGGTTGTTTCCCAGCAGGGAGTCCCTCTACACCACCTCCTATTCCTGCTGTAATCTCAGGCAGCCTTCCTCTCATTCACTTCTTTTACGCTGTAAAAAAATATGCAATAAAAAGAGAGAAAATGTTGATCTCCACAGATCTCAGTAGATGTGTTTCAAAAGATTTAAAGAAGCTTTTTCAGAAGTATGCTTTAGGGATATGGGGTTTTTTCAGAGCTTATTGCTTTTAGACCTTTAATTTTTTTTTTTTTTTTTGTGCTCTAAACATAGAAAAACAGATTGCTTACTTCTTTATATGATTACTGGGGCTCAAATTGCTACTTTTAGGATTTTAGAGAAGTGCTATTGATAAGTTATAAGTTTTTAGTTGTAGCCTGTTCTTGTTCTCATTATTTTGGTTTGAGTCATTCTTTTTTTTTTTTTCCCTAACAGATGGTTTGGATGTGGTCATTATTTTCTGCAGTCAGTTCTTTTACTCCAGTACTCTTGATTGAAAAATTCATATTTATGGTATGAGGTACAAGTAATACTTGATGAAGAGTACAGAAGAGGCTCAGGGTTTTTTAAACACTTGGATAGGAAGGTAGACTTGCAGAGAAGTATTGAATTTAGTGGTCATAAACCAAAACACATAATTTAGAATTAATTTTGTTATTTATACTAAAAATACAGTGTGTAAAATAATTCTAATATAGAATTTAATCTTTTGTGTTTTCTAGTTTCTGTAGGGTATATCTGATATCATCTGCTCCTCTTTCTGCTCTGTTGCAGCAGCCACTGATGACTTGGCAGTAAAATAGTATCTTAGACAAACTGTCTCTTTCAAAAAGTGTTTTTTGAAGATCATAAAAATTTAAGTAAAAACAAATCTGCCAAAGATGCTATTCATTTAGCTGTCATTTCCCTCTGACCTTTTTCATAACCTGTGCTTCCCTACACCAAAGGCTGTTTTTTTCTAAGGGTGTGGTCCGTACCCCAGACTGTGCTGCATTGCAGGCCACTCCCTAACCCTCCTCCAGTGATTACTGATGGACTGCATGCAGAATGTGAAGACCATTTTCAGAGTATTTTAACAAAAAGAAGCAGCACATAGAAAGCTGTAACACCCATGCAGTTCAGTAATGACAAGGAAAACTGGAGAGGACCTGTGCAAGCCTCCATGCTGAGTGATGAGCACACGTGCTACATCTGGTGCTGCAACTGGGTCACACACGTTGGAGCAGTCATCCTTGGATCACTTAATGAGCAAAAAGTGATTGTCTGGAACACAAAATGCAAATCTTCCTCATGCTGAAAGGAAATTCACATTCCCCACAGCTCAGGGGAACAACTTTCTAGGAAGTCCTTTTCCAGTACCCAAACATCAGTTTGTGAGGTTTCAGTAATAAGCTGTATTATGAAACAGGGAATGAAACAATTAGTATATCCTACTTTATCAAAGTCAGGAAGAGAAGATATGGAATATCATTGCCTTTCCCTTGGAAGAGATTTCAGCTGCCTTCCCCCTTTGCCCTCTACTCTGTAAAACTTCATCCCCTCTGAGAAATTCAAAGCTATGAGCATGGCAAGGACATTATGGAGAGCAGGCAGCACATTTGCATATTCTCATAACCCTAAACATGTATTTTTTCCATTTGTGCCATGATCTTCTCCATTCATATTCTAAGTGGCAAAAGCTTTTAGCTGTGATTGGGCCCAGTCCTCAGTGGATAAGAACTGTGTGTATCACATGGCATTTATTAATCTCAAAAAGTTGTCTTTCAAGACATGTCTAAAAACATATGGGAGTTATGTGAAGCAAAGCAATTGCAAGTTCATTTGTTATTTCAACAAGCTCATTTCTTATGATTTCAGTTATATAATAGATGGGGAGCTGTTTGCAGGTTGCTTGTTGTATATTTTTCATTTGGTTCCTTGGGTTAAGCAAATGAAAGGCTGAACTGAGGAGTGGCTGTAGGGTTTTTGCCCTCCCTTGTCATTCTTTTGTCAGATGGCACCTGAAATGCTTTTCAGTCATTTAGAGTGAGTTCTGCAGGGGTCTTTGGGGATGCAGCCATCACCTGATGTGGTGCTCTTGGCATTTGGGGTCCCAGGCTGGCAAAGGTGTATTTCTGTCTGGGAAATCATTTGTTGGGTTTGTGCATCATTGGGCCATGTCCAGCATGAGAGATTTTCAGCAGCTTCCTCAGTAATCCTTGCAATTGCCCTATGATGGCTCACTGTGTTAGTTACTCCTACAATGGATTTATCTATTATTTGTACACAAGAATATATTACTCTACAACAGTGAAATAAAAGCATTTCTCCGAAGCCTCTTTTCTCTTATATCAGTGCTCCCTAAAGAGGGAAAGTACGTCACATATTTGCTGCCTGTCACTTTTAGTTTTGGTTTTGTCTTGTACTTTTTGTTTATGTGCTATCAGCAATCTTTTCCACATTGAACAGAATGAGTAATTTTGTAAGCTGGGCACTAAGTTATGGTTTGTATGGACTCCTTTCCTACCTACAGCAGAATGTTCCTACCTGATGACAGAGATCCACTTCTTTATCCTGAGTGTCCCGAGGGGAAAAATAGATATTATTTTTTAAAAAATTAGAGATATGATTGGCTTGGTAGCTGTTTAAAGGATGACAACACTGTTGCAGACCTTTGAGATCTGTTAGTACCAGGCACCAGACGTTTGGCACAGAAAAAAGCATTTGACCTTCATGATGTATGTACCTTGTGATGATTTGGTCATGGCAAAGCTGTATTTTCATGTAATCTTTATCTATACGACCAAAAAGAAGTGGTACAGAGATATTCAGTACATATATTTTAACCTTCTAATCCTTTTCTCATTGCTGCCATTAACTTTAATTTAAAATAATGCAGGTCAATATGATGGATTGAGCAGCTTATTAATTACATTCTTTGCACCAGGAAAGAACTTGGGAGGTCAGGCTTTTTAAATGGGTAGAGAATGAGAGGAACTCAACTGGGGCTGGTTCTGAAATGGGATTTGAGTGGCTTTTGCATTGATAGAAAAGGGTGCAGGTGAGAAATGAATTTTCTGCATTTGGCCCTTCACTGCCTTCCACCAGAGCTCACGGAGAGTGTGGCACAGGCACATCCATGACCCCCACGAGGCTCCATGTGCCAGGAATGGTGACACTCGCTCCTCCAGCTTCTGTAATAATTGCAGTAACATCACACAGCAGCCCTATGGGTTGAAGTGGAAGTGTATATATTTTTTCTTTTCTTAAAGACATTCTATTTAGCTGGATTTTGTGTAGGAGGGATGTAATTATCACCTCATCTTTGAATCTGGTCAGGATTATTTTTACTTTTTCAGTTGTGTCTCTCAGAAAAATGAGAATAGGATAAAATGGTAAGTTAACAGTTTATATCCTGGTTTATAGTGGTTGAATTTTTGGTAAATGTTTCTGATTTAGGTTTCATTTTTGTACAAGGAAGAGTGTGCCATGCATCATTCTCGTCTGACATGCTTTGCTGTAGGCAGTGTAGTTGAGCTGACAGTTCAGTGGTTTTTGTTAAGAATACCTGGTCAGAAATACCTACTGCATGGTCTATGATGGCTCCTTTGTAAAAAGACTAAATATGAAAAAAAAAAGTAGTGTGATATATCACATTCTCACCAGCTCATCTGACATGC